TAGCAATATGCTTCTTAAGATATATATGTTCTGTTAGCATGAGCAGGTTTGATTATTAATCTTCTCATCCTTTTTTATCTTAATCTGTTCTATCTAAGCAGATATTCCTGTATCTAAAGCAAATATTCTCATCTTACAGAAACATTTTATAGCTTGTTTATCAAGAACGAAACTCTAGCAAAAAATTAAAGCATCTCTACTAGTTCATGTCTACTTTCCTTTTTCTTGCTGTATTGAGTACTGAAATGTAAAGGTAAAACTATGGACCAATGGTATTCCAAAATTATTTAAAGTGTTATTTAAAAGCAAATGTAAAGAAAACTTTCACCGGTCAAGTTTAGCTGAGTTAACATTTAAAAAATAATGGAGCCATTTTGCATGTTCTGTTTTTGTATTCATGCTGATTGGGTTGTCTCTACCAAACCAGTTGCTAATTTTCCTTTTTGTTGTCACATGGCATTGATTTGAAAGGCATATGTAACAAACAAGAGGATCTCCAGAAAACCCTTTTTTCTTAGTGAGGGAAAAGAAGTTAGAAATACAATAATACAATAGAAATACAGTAATGCAGAAATTACAGTTTTTCTCTCACCCCTTTTTTTTCCCTCCCCCTACCCCCCACCCCCGATAACGCATAATTAGGCAGCAAATGTCACAGTAGCTTCCTTAGTGTAGGTCAGTGTCTTTTGCATTCCCTGTACTGCCAATCATTTTTTTTTCAGGCTTGTAAGAAAAACTATGACCTTGTCCAGCATAGGACTGATTCTTTACAAACTTTTTCAGTATTCATTATGTCCTTTGAAATGTTCGGCTGCCGAAATGTTCCGAGTTCTCTTGCATCTTGTGCCATTGAATTTTATATGTGGTTTAATAGAGTTTTGCTGCTTACCTTCCATTAGCATTATTCTCTCCCCTTCTGATACTTTTCTTGCCTCTGGAATGGGACGTGGACTCATAGGCACTTTAACTTCAGCAGGTTTGTATTTGTGGAGCTCCCATCCACAGAGTTCTCTGGCTAGAATTAATTTTTCATTATGTATTCAGATCATCCTACCAGGAAATGTGAGCCGTATTTGTAGGGAAGATTCAGGAGTAATTTGGTTTAGGGAAGTTCCTTCCTGATGCTTAATCTGGTATTTCTATAAACGTGAATGTCATTGCAGCAGCAGAAGATTTTCTAATATCCCATTCAGTATCTCTTTCTACCTACAGTGCTTGAGAGAGAGAAAAAAAGTGAATCTAAAATATACCAATCTATATTTTGCATCCAAAAAGAAAAGCACCCACTTTAGACTTATGCAGACCTGAAAAACCAGTATTGATTAGAGGCATTTAATTTGTGAAGGTACACTGGAACTGGAGCAGGTTGGAATTTTGGCCTTTGTCCTTTCTTCTTCTCAGGCTTTTATACATAAGTAGTGATGAACTGGGTCGATAGTTACTAGTCTGTTACCAGGACTTGTTAACAGCATTTTTGACTCAGACCTGGTAAAAGATTCCTTAACGTATTAAAGAAAGTTTTGAATCAAAAACCAGTACCACGGGAGTAGGGTGTATTCATTTCAGTATATAATCATTAAACTAGTGCTTTCAAATAGGTTCTCAGTTGTTGCTCGGCGTTTCAGTAATATTAAGTTAGCAGGTAGTTGGCTGAAAAACAAAATATTAAATTACTACTGTTTTTGCTATTTCTCTTCAAATCTTTGATCTCAAACATATTTGTGATGAGAAAATAACAGACTAATTCATTATATACACTTATTAACTGAAATTTTTCTTTCAGCTGCTGTAAATCATAGCTACAAAAAGGTTACCAATCGATCTTTACATGGGAGACCCAATGAGAAAGTGCTCCTAAATTAGAAGAAAAGCTATTTAATTCATTTTTTTAAATATACAAGAGAATATTAAACTAAAATCTTTTGTCTACAATCAAATAAGCATTCTAGTGGTGATTTTGATTTGGTCTGTAAATTTTCATTACCTTGAAAATTACTTAATTAGGTTAGAAAGTGGATGATTTCAGGAAAACAGGGGCATTTGAAAGGAATTGTAGTGATTTGGAATTGATTTTTGAATTGATCAGAGAATGAGCCTAAGAGTAGTCCTTTCAACTTTCTATAATGTGATCTTAATATACTGTTCTGTAATTATATGTAATATGTTAAGGTATTTTTAGTAGTAGAAAGTAGTGTCACTCTAGGGTGCAGCATGATAATTTGGGACAAACATACACAAAACTGTATTTGGCAACTACAGATTTCATTGATTTCCTATTAAAAGACCGTGAATGAAATTGTGGCTACAGTGAAGATTATGGGAATAGTCCTAGTGACTTTTAAGACAATTTCAAACCATGCATTTCAAGTTGCTTGATTTGGTATTAATTCAAAATTTTGTCTACAAAGATAATTGTTCCCTGTTGTTCCTGTGCTTAAGTTGTATGATCTGTATTTGGTTTAAATGAGGATAACTATATGCCTTATATGACTAGACTAGAATAAGTTTATCCAAGCAGATTTATATTTAGGATTTACTTTTTTTGATTTCTCAACTGAATTTGCATTAAGTATCTTGAAATACTTTGGCTTGTGAATAGTATTCCCTGTTGAGATAATAAAGCTTTAAATGTGTGTTACATCATGAACTTTTATATGCCTTTCATACTCTATTATATGATTGTCAATAAATTCAGTATGGCACAGGGCTCCAAATATGGCATTTTCATTTCTTACTGTCTAAAAGAAATCAATATCAATATCAAAACAGAGAAGAACAGGAAGAAATTCTTTAACAGTTTTATCTAAGAAATTAATCTGATTTTGTAGTCCTTAAAAATTTCAATTACAGTGTACTGGATTCCTTAATTAGTTAACTATGGGTTACAGCTTAACAAGTAATATTGAACTGCATGATTCACCAGATCACATGTGCAAAGATAACTGCTTAGTTAAATTAGGATTTCCATATTAAATAACTTGGTTAAAAATAAGTTAAGCCTTTTTGTTGTCCCCGCCCCCAGTAGGGAAGCTGAAACATGAATCTTGGGAATGTATACAAAATTTCGAACAATATGCTGGTTGAAGCGAGAATAGGCAGGGAGAAAGGTTAGAGCTGGGTGAATAAAGAGTATTTAATATAGTTTTTACTACATTAAATGAATTTTACTGAAATTATGCAAAATACTTGCATTTCATATTTCCCTTCATTTTCCTTCAGAGGTGTACCGAATTGTTAAAACAGATGGTCCTGTAGGTGTTTAATTATCTTTATCCTGGCTTTATTTTCAAAATGAAAAAGACATCTGAATACTTCTTGCATATTTACTATAGTAGTTCCATCATTACACTATCTGAAATCTTGTTACCAAAACTAGTTGAATTTTTGTTTACATATGCGTTTGTAATTCACACAATCCTCTGAATGTCTTGTATTCTTAGATGTGCTAATTTGGGAATTATAGTATTCATTTTTTGTCGTCATCATGAAACATGATGAAGTACAACAGTAATGAAAAAATATGCTTGTTATTCAATAGAATCCAATGTTATGAATATATGAATATTTCCTACAGTGAAATATTATAATTTGGCAGAAGTTGCATGGTATATTGTTTTTGTTGTATTTTGTTACGAGACAGAAACCTCCTATAAATTTGAGAAACTGGGTGTCTGTAGAGATAAGAGGACTTCTTAAAGACCGAAAGAAGGCTGCATGAGCTGCTTTTGTGGGAGAAGACATTCACTTGACATCACTGGATCTCTGAAATACCATGAGTCCTTAGTAAAATTTAGTTTTTCCCAAGGACTTGGCAAATCTAGAGGAGAAGGTCCATGTTAAAGTTTCAGTCATCAGGAAAAGCTACAATTCAGAGTTGGAACCAGCCACATCAAAATCCAAATTTCATTTCTTCCTAGCATTCACAAAAATACAGTTGTTAACTGCCCACTCTTTGTGTGATGGTTGTTGATGTTGCTTTTTTACATAAGCATTCTCCTGACACTTGCCTTACAACTTAATAAATTACTGGGTTTTGTTGGAGAAGCAAGGCAGTACAGTCATCAGTACTATTCCAGCTTAATTTGTGATGCAAAATACTGAGATTACTAACACACACCTGAGAACGAATGAGCTACAAAATCTACAGAAGCTAAGGAAAAGGTCACTCTGGATCTTGAGTTTTGATGCTTGGTTAATAGTTTCTGACTTGTGCTATTTCAGCATTCTTTTAAACTGTGGGTTCGTTTCTGTAGCGGAAAGGTTATTCCCTAGTAATGAATGAAATCTCAGCCTTCTGTAAGTATATTTCACTTCTGCATGAAATTTTCCTAGAGAATGGGAATATTTAGCATGTAATTGGTAATATGCTCATGAAATAATTGAGTGGCAAACGAAAACAGAATCACAAAAACTACAGCTGTGTTAAATTATACTTAATGTCCTATACAAGCAGAAAGAATGAACTGTGTTTATTTTCCAAACAATAAAATTTCTAGTTTAGTTTTCAGTGTAATTTTTTTTAGAAAGTAAATTAAGTTTCATACTTTGGATGAAATTGTTTTGCAATTCTGATACTACAAAGCTAATTTACAAAGTTGAAAAACTGTGCTGAGGTCATAGAAATCAATTTTGTAGTGGTATTAAGTTATTTTTTCCTTTGGTCACTGGCTAGTAGAATATGCTGGAAACCACGGTAACAAAAAGTGCTACCATGGTTGCCCCAGAGTCATGTTAAAATGAGTAAGCTATGTTTGTCTTGATTAATATAATAAAAAGGAGAAAAAAAGAGAAGGAAAGGGAAGAAGGGAGAGAAGAAAATTAATAACCTGTAGAACAGAAACAGCAAATGTACAGTCAGAGATGTATCTATGGGTAAGTGATCCTGGAACTCCTAGTACCATTGCGAAGGTGTTAAGCTGTGAAGCTTTAAAGAGTAAAGGAGATGTATTAGTTCAATGGTTTGTCTTTAAATTGTTTCCTTCCATGTCTGTATTTTGCAGGTTTATATTAGGATAAAAGATGATGAATGGAATGTTTATCGAAGATATGCGGAGTTCAGAAGCTTGCATCATAAATTACAAAATAAATACCAGCAAGTGAGGACTTTTAACTTTCCACCAAAAAAGGCCATTGGAAACAAGGTACTTAAAAGAACTCATAGTATCAGTAAGAGTTGGGGAAAAAACCTTTCCTATCCATACACACAAAAGAAGAGGTGACTATCATAAATATTTTTTACACTTGCTAGACAGTACCTGCTATTTTTATACAGACTTTGCCCTCAGCTGCAGATTCACTCATAACGTAGTTAATGCATTGATTTTTCCACTCACTGAAAAGAAAACTGTGTTTAGTAAATGAAATATTGATGACATACACAGTAGATAAATGCACAAAACCCCAAAAACTGTACTGGACAGCTGTATATGTAAAATGTAATCTCTACTCCGTTCTTTTCAATAAATGCCAGCAATTAACACTGGTCAGTAATTCATTAAATATTTCTGTAAATTTTAAAAAGTATCAGTCTAAATTCCTTAAATTTCCTGTGCTATTCACTAATTGTTTTAAGTTCTTTGAACCAGCTTTTTAAAGGCATTTGGGTGCTTAATTCCCCTAATCCGTGTCTTTGTGTCTTAGCTCTCCCATTTTAAAATGGGAATTTCTGTGTTTTCCTATCATATAGGGATTTTGCACAAATACAGCAAATATTATAGTATGTATGTAGTAAATATCATGTAGTTTAATCCTTAATCACCAAAACATTAAAATGTTCAAGAGCTTAAATATGCATTGCAATATACATCACAAATCCAGTAAGGATTGAGAAGAGAAGTAATCAAAGTAATTTTTCTTTACAGTGTAGGAATGATCTGAAAAATTTATTTAACTATCACAAGTAAAATATTTGAGATTTAAATCATGCTTATGACTAAAAACGTCTATACCAAACCACCGGGTGCTTAAATCAGCATTCCTAATGTTAATCAGATTTGTTAGCTTTTATATGGAATTTTCTCCTTTTACTTTTTTTTTGGCCTTAGTATCACTGAGTTCTTGTATCAAATATCTAAGAAGCACCAACCATAGTGACCAGTGTAGTCATCAAAAGAAAGCTGACATAATGACTAAAATACTCAAAGATCTTCATGACATTTTGTTTGGCCTAAGACCACATTAATACATGTATCACTAAAGTGCCAGAATCATTCTAATTATATCTGTTGCAACATTGTCTATGATACAAAAAATCATCATTGCTAATTCATGTGAAGTAATATAAAATTTCAAAAACAAATAGGAAAAAAAAAGATTTATTAATTCCTTAATGGCATTCAGATGTCGGTGAACGTGGATTGTGAATGTTTAAAGATAGTAACTCTGATCTGACTTCAAATGATTTCCCAAGTGTTCTGTAAAAATGAGTAGGTAAGTTTGGCACATGTGATATGAAATGAGTAGTAATGCACATAATCTGGAATAGGTGGTGGTGATATAAATATATATGGAATTTATCAATAAAATCTGTAGGTCTGTGTGCTTGGCATAAAGTCCAGAATTAATGTAGTTGTTCATTGCCTACTAACCTAGTAAATGAAAGCACTTATGAAAGCTTTTCTGCTTTTTTTCATATATTAGAAGATCATGCCTTTTTAATTTCATTTTTAGTGGATAGTTTTGTAATAGAAACAATGTATTTTCTTCTTTGTTACATAACTAATCCTCTTTTTTTGAAGTGATGGAGTATCAGCCACTTCAGTAAATTATGAAAGCCTTCTTGTGAGCTTTTATAGTCTTTCATCCTTAATTACTTTAAATACTAATTCAATGACAACTTCAGTTGCACAATTGATGCATACAAAATTATCAGTTGAGCAACTCATTAAAAATTTGCATCGCTTATTCTTTAGCTTTGGGCCAAAATTCTACCTTAATCATGCATATGCCAGCAATATGCGCTCGCAGCCCAGGCGGCCAACTGTATCCTGGGCCGCATCAAAAGAAGCATGGCCAGCAGGTCGAGGGAGGTGATTCTGCCCCTCTACTCTGCTCTGGTGAGACCCCACCTGCAGTGCTGCGTCCAGCTCTGGAGCCCTCAGCACAGGAAAGACATGGACCTGTTGGAGTGGGTCCAGAGGAGGGCCACGAAAATGATCAGGGGGGTGGAACGCTTCTGCTATGAAGAAAGGCTGAGAGAGTTGGGGTTGTTCAGCCTGGAGAAGAGAAGGCTTTGGGGAGACCTTATTGTGGCCTTTCAGTACTTAAAGGGAACTTGTAAGAAAGATGGCAGCAAACTTTTTAGCAGGGCGTGTTGCGACAGGACAAGGGGGAATGGTTTTAAACTAGAAGAGGGTAGATTTAGACTAGCTATAAGGAAGACATTTTTTACAATGAGGGTGGTGAAACACTGGCACAGGTTGCCCAGAGAGGTGGTAGATTCCCCATCCCTGGAAACATTCAAGGCCAGGTTGGTTGGGGCTCTGAGCAACCTGATCTGGTTGAAGATGTCCCTGCCCACGGCAGGGGGGTTGGACTAGATGACCTTTAAAGGTCCCTTCCACCCCAAACTATTCTATGATTCTATGATAAACAAGCAATCACTTTCTGTCCTATCAGATCTCAGAAAAAGTATCTTTTCTTTACAGTAAGAAGTGGATGCCATGCATTGCACTCCTGATGAGACATAAGCCAGTTGTATAATTGGAATGGATTAGTGATACTTCTGGCTACCTGCTGTAAATAGCTTGCAAGTTGCAAAGCGGCACTTTCACATCAGTTTTGCAAGAGCTTACCTCAGTTTATCACAAAAGAGCTTATTTCCACAGCACATTGTGTAGGCAAATTTTTGTTCTTTTAGTGGTGCTATTTTCTGTACCATGTCATAGTATGTATTGCATTTAGGAATATTGCGTGGTTTTGTGCAGTATGGTGGATCGTGCTTCAGGAACATTTACCCTATAGATCCAGCAGAAATAGAAGCCCCTTGGAACACGTTGCACTGTGTGACTGACTGAGATGGGTTAATGGCCTTGAGATGGCCCTCCTTTCCATGACAGAGCAAATTGAAGTAATTGGAAGGTTTAAAAATTCAGTGTAAAATTAATTAATTCATGTAGGAATGTCTGTCTTGGAATTCTGTAGAACTTTCAGTTTAGGATGAGGGATTTGTGCAGGATGTTACACATGCAAATGTTTGGTAATAAGCATTAGAAGAGATACTGTCAATTCTACTTTTTCCAATACTGCTTTTTTAACTTTAGTGGCTACCAAAGCATGTTCCCTTTTAGATATGCTGTTAGATTTCAGTAGAAATTTTTTTCTCTCTGATATTTGTTATACTGTTTTTAATAGAATTGCAGCAGTCTTCCCATTTCTAAATTAATCAATACAACCTTAAATCAGTGCCTAAAGAGCAGTTTAAGTAGCTAAATTCTGCTAACAAAAGTATCTCTATTCAGTTTACGTCAATCTATGGTTTTCACATCCTTTACAAATCCTCAGTGTTATTAGATGCCCAAATAACATATTGGTAAAACATAGTCCTCCATGTAGAAATGGCTAAAAATGACTATTTTACAGCTTCTGGAAAATGGTGTCATGTGCTTTTATATCCTTCAGGTCTGTACCTGAATGATGTTATTCATTGCGTGTCTTCAATACGCTGTGTTTGGTACTGTGAGGCTAATGAAGGTGATATGCTTATTCTAAACGCTAGTGGCATTGAAAGAGGGTTTTGCTGTAATTGATACCTCCTCTGATACCAGCACTAAATTTGGTGTTCAGTTGTATGTCTCAGATTGAGGGAACCTCCAAGACCACAAGAGGACACCATGTTACACAGAATGACCTAGAATCACTACAGCAGAGTCACAAAATACTATCCACTGTTTCGCTATGTAAAACATTGGAGCTCTGAGGAGGGAACTTGACTAAAAGAGAGTAATGTAAAAAAAACTATGGAGAACTATTAATTTTCATGCGTAATTTTCCTGCTTACTGCAATAGAAATCAGGGACATCAAGTTCAAATGCAAAGTTGCAGAGTTTGACACAGGGAAAATGCAAAAGAAAGCAGAATTTCAGCTGGATGAGGGTTTTAAAAAGTGAGAAAATCAAGTGTTTATTATTGCATGTATGTTGTCATCAAGTAGCAGTGAAATCTGAAAATATTTAACAATTGTAAAACAATAGATTAAGAATCTAATATTTATATTAATTCTAATTATTATGTTTTTAATGTATTTTTGCCTTTCACTTGTTTGCCTTAAGTTGGAACAATTTATCTTAACAGTTCATGTTCATATCTTTCAACAAATTATGTGTGTAGGATTAGAAACTAGCTTTAATGCTTGAGGAAATATAAATCTAATATACAGAAAACCAATTAGTAGAAAATGAACAGAGAAGATGAAAGAATACTGCTTTGGACAAGTAACCTTTCTTCAATTACAAAGAAGAGTGTGTATTTGCCTTTCAGGTTGGTAACCTTGTTTTCAGTGTATCAATTTAAACATTTGAATATAGTAAGTTAGAACTAATGTAAAGCAATGAAAAGAATAATGTGATTTATAAATGTTGCTTTGAATCAAGTCAGAACAGCTAATTTAATTACTGAAGGAAAATATAACAATAATGCTTTCAAGACTCCATGTATTAAGTTTCATAACTAGTCCCTATGCTGTATATTTTCTACTAATGATCTTTCAATGCTGGTAGCAAATAGTTGTCAAAATCTTTATAAGTAGTCCTTGTAAGAATAAGTGTTCTTCCTTCAGTTTATCGATGTTTTGTTTGAGTGAAAATAAGAAACGTATTTGTTCTCTTTTTTTGCATGTATAAGAGAAATGTCATTTACTCATGGTATATTTTTGTACTTATTTTTTAAACTGCAGATAATTTTATTTAAAACTTAAAAATTTGAACTGTATTTTTAACACTTGAACTGTTTGTTTTTGTAATTTTAAAACATGCTCCCCGTATATCAGCCTGGTTTGTGGTTTGCCAAGTATTTTATATGTAGATGTATATACCAAGACTTCTAATTTCAAACTATGATTTTCTTGCATGAAATAGATCTTTGCCTTTTACCTAGCCTTCAGGTACTTTGGATCTTTTGAATTGATACTTCTATTATCACAGTG